TGTGACGTAGCAGGCCACTCTGATGTCACCCCCAACTCAGGCCTCTCAGAATGCCCACCACACTACTTCACTCTCGTTGCCACCAATTGTAATTACTATTTAAGAAGGACAAAGGTTTCCTTCTAAACAAAACAGGTTTATTGAAATAACAAAATAAAATATGTAAATCACAATTAGCTAATCAAGATGTCAATCACTGTATCTTATTTAATCAATCAGACTTTCTCTATACGTAGGCACACAGGCCTCTAAACAAGCTATTTGTCTCACACTCCAGGTCTGATCTCTCACCCTCTCTTCACACCCCTTTTTCTTCCAGCTCCTCCTTCTTCAGCCTCACCCTCCGTCACCCCATTGGCTGATGATTCACTGCCCAGCTGTGACGGACAGGTGAGGTCAGGGCTGCCTGTTACAGTGGCCACTTCTGGTAAATATACCCTGGAAGTTTTTTTTATTTAGTATTGGGAAGGTTATTTTCTATTTTCAGGCAGCAGATAAGTGATCAGCAGACAGTGATCCTGCGGATAGGGGTATTATACTGTACGTATAGTGTTTGCTAGGGAAATATACTTCCATGATGTCATTACTAGAACTGGCCACCAGAAGGAGACAGAGTCCATGCCATATACTGTTCGCTATTGAAGGGAACCAAAGTGACTCCATGATAGAACTGGCCACCAGTTCTAGTAATATATATACTGTTCTATATTACTGTTCTAGTAATATATATACTGCTTGCTATTGAAGGGAACCAAAGTGACTCCATGATGGATTATGCATGTTTCCCTCTTGAGAAGCTGTTTCCCTCCTCCTTGAACAGAAGCTACCAGCTTGGGCATCTATCGCACGCCTTATCAAGTATTCTGCCACCATTCTCAACAATCCATCCGCTTCTCTTGTTAAATCTACTTGCCTCAATCCTGCCACATTGGTACCAGACACATCCCATCCACCTACTCATGACTGTTTGTGCCTATTGGCCGAAGTAGTGGGCATACATCCTGATCTTACACCCGACCTTCTGCCTGACCCCGACCTCGAACACTGGACATATGGATCTTTTTTCATCCACAATGGCCAATGGGTCACAGATTATGCTGTTATTAGGTCTGATCAACCTTTTCTTCTCCAATCTTTGTGTCCCCACTGCTCTGCTCAAGTGGCTGAACTTGAAGCTCTCGTTGCTGCCGCCACTTATGCCAAGGGTCTCTCTGTTAACATTTATAGATTGTTGTTGTTTAGTTCAGTCGTGTCCGACTCTTTGTGACCCCATGAAACAGAGCACGCCACACCCTTCTGTTTTCCATTGCCTCCAGGAGTTGGGTCAAATTCATGTTGGTATCATTTATACTGATAGCTGGTATTATTTCCTTGCTACACACATAACATGGCTTTATGGAAATACCACGGTTACCAAGGAGATGATGGCAAGACACTAAAGATGAAACCAATACTTGAACACCTAGCAGCAGCGTTTCTTTTTCCAAAACCTATAGCGGTTGTCCATTGCAAGGGTCACCAGTCAGATGACAGCCCTATTACCCATGGTAACTTCTTCACTGATAAATACACTTGACAAGGGGTGCTAAAGAAAGGGGAGGGACGTGAGGGTCATGTATAAACAATGGACCACCAACCGAACCAAACAATGCCTATCCTGACTCTAATCCCCACACCACCAGAAAATTTGACGATTGCCTTGTACGGACCAGATTAGATCCTGCAGGAGAATGGAAGGACAGATGGTGGAAGGTGGGTGACAGAATACAGTTACCAGTTATGGTCCTCCCTGATATTATCCGTAAGGCCCACAATATAACACATGTGGGAACAAAGACGCTATATAAACTCCCCAAGGGGGGCATATAGTAATGCAAGAATGAAAACAGCCTACTGAAAAGCAGCCCAACAATGCACACTTTGCTAACAGAACAATCCATGGAATGGACCAATAACACTCTTGGGACATATATGGACTGCACATTGCCCCGATGAAGCCTGGCAAGTGGACTTTACAGAAATGCCAAAGAAGAACAACTTACTGGTGTTTGTTGACTTGTTCAGTGGCTGGCCAGAAGTATTTCCCACCCGTACTCAAATGGCCCGAGAAGTAGTGCAAGCATTAGTAGAACACATAATCCCTCGATTTGGATTGCCCTTCGGGTTGGAGACCGATAATGGCCATCATTTCACATCCCAAATAGTACAGAAGAACCTACACAGCAGCTGATGAATCTTGGTGGAATTGGTTGACTTCATGGCTGCCGGGTAAAGGTTGGCTTAAGAATCTTTTTATGGGTTTTGTGTTTATTGGTCTTCTTGTTTGCTTTCTGTATCTTTATGCAATGTTTTGTGCAATGTTGTGCCAGTCAGATGTCAAGGTTTCAGGACGGACACAACCATGGACCTTGGGCCAGGATTGTGTGAAAAGAAAAGGGAGGAAATGAAGGGAACCAAAGTGACTCCATGATGGATTATGTATGTGTAAACAGGACTGTGGCGGGGGTGGTGAGCAAGTGCCAACTCATGATCAGGAGATTGTAAGAATGTGATGGACAGAAGGGAGGGGCCAAGAGAATGTGTGGTACAAGGGGTGATGGTATTACTGTTTAAGGGTATAAAAAGGGGGATTACTTGTTTGTAAGCCCAGCACTTTCGAAAGAGACTGTCCGCCTGTTAACTTTGCTCAGCTGATTAAAGAAATGTTTCCTAGATCACCGGACTCAATCTCTTATTGGCCTTTAGGGATTGGTTGGTTAAAGACAGGTCTGAGGAATAGGCTCTACACTATAATCCACGTTTTATTAATCAGCAGGGCGGGGCTTGGAACCGATAAAATAACACCTTAGTAAGGAAGCACTCAATTTCTAGCTGCTTAACCATGCTTTGATAGCGTGCTACAGGCCTGCACCGACTTAAGTCAGTTCAGTGGTATTTCTTTACAGTGAACTAATAGGGGATCGATCTGTACATCATGCAAAGGGGGAACTCTCGCAACTCAACATTTGGGTGCTGGTTTTTAAGTCCTTATGACAGAAACTGGCTTTTCTCGCATTCACATGCACTTTTCTTGTTATTTTACTGTAATCCTGTTTATAACTGTCCTTCACCCACTTGGCCACGTATCCATCGTAAATACAACCATAAGGAATCTTGAAAGTGCTCCTCGCTTGAGTCTTCGAACCTACCTCACGTCCTTTTAACGACGTAAAACAGACGCTTTAGAAACATTTCAACATAACGCTTTTCTCATAAATTATCTGAGGGACAGCGGACCGTTGTCATCAGTAAAAAAAAGATCCGAGACAGTTAACGGAACATTCCCGCGTCCCCAACTCCAGGCCCCGCCCACTGGCCGTTGGAGCATTCCGCTCCCATTCTCTTCTTGCTCGGGACCCGCGGAAGTCACACGACCACTTCTACACTCTCTCTCTCCACGCGTGAGACAGTAACCCCGTTAGCCTCCCTTTTCCGGCTAGAAAACGGGTCCACCGCCCCAGCCCGCTTCGGGGCCACCCACGTTCGATGTGGCAGGGAGGGGGAGGGAAAGATCCCGAGCGGCTCGCTGGTTGGTCGAGAAAGATTCGGAGGAGGGGGGCGGAGCTCGAGCCCGTTCTCCGAGATACCACGGCCCGCGGCAGAGGCGCCCTGCCCTCTGTGGGCGTGTCCCAAGGAAGAGGGCGTGGCCGAGAGTCCTGAACAGGAGGAGGGGGCTTTGTTGTGGCGCCGGGAGAGGTACGGCCGTATCAGTTGGGGGCCGGGAAAGGGGCGGCCGCCTCGTTACTAGCCTGAATTTCCCTTTTTCTACCCGGGCGGGACAGAGCCGCCTTCCTGACCCTGGGGGCCAGCAGTGAGTGAGGTGAGAAACGGGGCCGGGCCGGGAGGTAAGCGTGGACAGGGACCGCTCTTCGCAGCTTCCTCCGCCTCAGCTCCGGCACTCTCGTGTTGTGCTGGAGGGGTGGTGAGGGATCTTCTCTGCCTTTTCTTTCGGTGGAATCCCTCTGAGGCGGCGGCGGCGGCCTCTTCTAGAGATGCACCAGGGTTGGGTTTCCGCTCCAGAAGGAGGTTCTCCCCCCCCGCCCCGGTCCCAAGATAAGGGGAGGAACTCCGGCAGTTCAGACGGAGTCACGGCGAAGGAAGGCAATGCCCTTAACCATGTGCAAAGTGCTTTCTCTCGCAGGGGTCGGTTCGGAAGGACGCTAGGGAGGAAGCCTCCAGATTTGCACAGGAATTCGTGTCAGTTAGTTGCGTCTCGCCATCTTTTCACTACCTGTTCCTTGGTCTGCTTGCAAAGAAGGAGTGTTTATTCCCACCCTTTTAGTGCATGTCGGTGTGAAGAGAGGGGATTCTGTCCCATTCCAGAGCAGCCTGTCGCCTAGAGAAACATAACACATTTTCATCAGATTCTAGTTTCTTTTTCAAGTTAAGGTGCTTCCAGTTAGAGAACAGTATTTATGGAAAGCAGTTACTGTATTTTGAATTAACATTGAAATAATATAGTGGGCTGAATTTTTGTTCATTTTTTTACCCCTTGTGATCACAGTCATATTTTATAATGTATAAAACTGGTGTTTTTGTTTTCCAATGTAAAATCTTGAACAATAATCCTGCAGAATGGACTCCTCTCTGTATCTGTGTAGGTAGGACATCAGTGGTAGACTTATGCTCGTACTCTGTTACATTCATAGTTATGCCCCTAGTTCTTATCCTTCTTCTTCCACTGCAACATTCTGCGTTTGATCTTTGAACCAGTGGAGTTAACAGACATTGTCAAAGGTTACCTGTTGTTCAAGGGATGTAAGCCCCCCCCCAACTACCTCTTGCCCTACGGAAGAGATAGTTATGGTTGATGAATCTCAATTTCAGAAGGAACTGTAAGTGTGTATAATACTTTCTGAGTCACAGCAGCTCTCTCTTCAGCCTAAACTCATCTCATCGGGAGAAACTAATGTAAGGTAATGCAGCATTAAAATGATTAAAAATGAATTATCTATGAGTCCTACTTCATGACGTATGCAAAGAGAAGAGATAGGCTTCCTTCTGTTGCTGCTTTATTTTACTTTGTCAAGAGTGATGGATTCAGTCTGTGCAGCAGCTTAAATGGAAAGAAGAAAGGCGTGTCTGAGTGACATCTGTTACATATGAGCTGCCGTTTCCAGGCATTGAATATGCCTAATAGTGCAGCTGAGAGACATGTGAAATACGCATGTGATTAACAGTGTGATACTACAGGTGTAAGTAAATCCCACTGAATTTAATGAGGCTTATTCCTACATGAGTTAGTGAAGGACTGCAGCCCAAAGGGATATTTTTTCCACTTTTCAGTTGAAACAGAAACATATACCGGTACCTGAGCAAATATGTACAAAAGGAGAAATTCTGTGGAGCATATTTTCCAATACATAAGCTTTTAAATGTCAGATTGTTTTATACCAATGAAGTGTGTATGGGGACAGGCAAGTGGCTAAACAGAGATGCATGCTATGAGGATATTACATTTCCCTACCTTGTTTCCCCAAAAATAAGACCTAACCTGAAAATAAGCCCTAGTATGATTTTTAGGATGGTTGTCATATAAGCCCTCCCCCCCCCAATAAGCCCCAGTTAAGTGAAACCATTGTGTAGTAACCAGAAGAAGATGACATGACTGTATTTGAATAAATGTAGATCGTTGTACATGAAAAAAAAAGTCCCCTGAAAATAAGCCCTAATGTGTTTTTTGGAGGAAAAATTAATACAGTATAAGACCTGGTTTTATTTTCGTGGAAACACAGTAGTATTCCACCAGCAATATTTTGTCTCTGGGAAAGCAAGAATGCTACTTTGCTTCCACACTTATAGATTAAAATTATTGCTGATTTCATTCATACCTCTCTGAAGCTTCATCTCACTGAGATAGTTGTATGTAACATAGTCATTAAATTAATTGGTAGTGTGATTTAATCTTGAAGCTCCATGTTTCATCTTATGGAGGATCATTCTTGAATACTTCATGTTAACTGATCTGGAATAACTAATGTTCCTTGATTGTGTACTCTGATCCTTTGAAAATCCATTTTCCCTTTATATTGAAAATGGGGGAATCAGTCTTGAACCAATTCAGTATTAAGGGAGCTGTGATTAATGCGTAACTAATCTGCCTTTAATTAACTTGATTATGTACCCTAAAAATCTAGATTGAAATTTTTGGCTTTTTAACAATTAAATTAAATTTTATAACCAGGTAAATTAAATATATTCAATATGGGGATATGTTTCTATGAATTTTTATTGGGATAGTGGGGTGATTTTACTAATTTTTTTGTTTTAGCCAATACCTTATATATTTCAGATGCTTTGAGTTTTAGGGTCTCTGGGTGGACATCATATGTATGTATGTTGTGTGTGTGTAGAAAAATGGAATGCATCCCAGTTCATATACTATATAGAACAGCCTGATTGACTTGATTTGTAAGAAGGAGGATATAGTTTATGGCTGCTTAACTTAATTGCTTTTACTTAAGTTAAGCTCCAGTGTTGTCAGTTTACTTGAAATTTTCTTTCAAGAGAACATGTTTTGCGTCATGAAGTCTAAGTGGAGACAGTTCTCTGTAGCAACTGGTTACTTGCAGTGTGCAGTGTGGAATCTAGATTGGAAACACAGCAAATTAGAGCTGAAATTAAACAATTTAATCTTTTTTTAAAAAACAAGTTTTCTGAAAGTGTACCTGCATCCTTTAAATGAAATATATAAAATACATTAATTTTTCTCAGAAATTGCATTAAGTTTATAACTTCAGTGCTTCTTAAATGAGTTTGGGAGGCTGCTGATTGGTTATAATCAAATGTAATGGCTGGAATTTCATGAGCACATGCATTATAGGAGTTATTTATTAGTTACTATATAATGGCCATTACAGATATAAAAAATACTCTTTGCAAATCATTATGAAGGTAATCATCTCATACCATTTCTACACGACTGTTCCCATATTCTTTTTTGGCAGAAGTCAGTGCAATGTTGCCCTCCAGATGATGTTGAAATGCAGTTCTCATCACCCCTCACTATTGGTTGTGTAGCTAGGACTGATGGAAGTTGCAGTACAACAACATCTAGAGAGCAACAGATTGTCCATCTCTGTTTTCTGGCACGAAAGTGCAAGCATAGGGGGCAGAGAGGAGAGGGAGCTTCCTTGCTTAGATGTCTAGGAGGCCAATCTCTTTTGTTCTGGGGTGTCTGGTTGGGATCTACAGTGGTGCCTTGCTTAGCGATTGCTTCGTTTAACGAAGAATTCACTTAACGATGTGTTTCTTGGAGGAATTTTCCGCATCGTTTAACGGTGTTCTCTATGGGGGATTTTCACTTAACGATGTCCGTTTTCGCTCATTTTTAAGTGTCTTAAAATGTTTGAAACCTGTTTTAAATGCTTGGAATCGGTAGTGCACCTTGTGAAACCTACGCAAACTTAATTTGGCTTTGTTCTGAGTCTTCGTTATTTTTTGGTGATTTTTTGTTTAAATCAATGGATTTAAATGGGGAAAACAAAAAATCACCAAAAATTAACGAAGACTCAGAACAAAGCCAAATTACGTTTGCACATGTTTCACAAGGTGCACTACCGATTCCAAGCATTTAAAACAGGTTTCAAACATTTTAAGACACTTAAAAATGAGCGAAAACTGACATTGGAAAGCCAATTGAAATGCATTGATTTGGCTTCAATGCATTTCAATGGCTTTCCGATGGGGGAAACATTGTTTCACTTAGCGATGATTCCTATGGGGATTTTCGCTTAAGGACGGTAATCTGTTCCCATTGGAACAGATTAACCGGTTTTCAATGCATTCCTATGGGAAATGGTGTTTCGCTTAATGATGTTTTCCCATAGCGATGTTTTTTTAACCAATTAACATCGTTAAGCGAGGCACCACTGTATTTCCAAGCATGCGAGAGTTACTTGATCTTTGTTTGCTGTGATAATAATACATACGTCCCCTAAATATAGGCCTTATATTCACTTAGAGTCATTGAGCTTGATTTGAGGGCAGGGAACTGGCCAGGGAGGTGTATGTGTCAGTAAATGGTATGAAGGGAAAAAAGTGGAATTGTTGTAAGTGAAATCATGTGGTGGCTGCTAATTAATAAGGTTGCATTCCGCACTGAGCAGTGGGCACACAAAAAGAACTGTAACTTGGGTTTCATAGTATCAACTTGCCCCTATGATTTACATGAATTTACTTACCCATGTGTAAATTACCAGTAGGATTCCAGCCAATATATACTAAGTAAATAATATAGAAACAATATTACGTTTTAATAAGTATATGTAGGCAGTCAATCGCAACAAGAGAGAATTCTGAGTCAGCATAAAGATAGTTGACATGCATTTTTAAAATGGACCAAATTTCATAATGAAAAGTTTAGCAGTTAGTGACTTGGTACTTAAAGCATTCCAATAATTAATTATCCATCTGATCTCTTGTGGTGAGTGAAATCAGTTCCAGACAATAAGACAAAGCGGTTGTCTCTCCTTTTTCCCTGTATAATATATTATTAATGCATGGGCCATAGCACATACTGGCACTATCCTGGTATACCCTGTTGAAGGGACTGGTTGCAGGTATTGGAATAACCTGTTTGCATGACTCTGTATCCTAGGTCAAGAAAACTAGCTATGGGAACACTAGCCTTATACTGTGCCTCATGTTCTGAGTTAAACATTTACTTCTGCTTTCAGGGGATGGAAAGGAAATTGGTTTGTAGTCCTGCTGTGAGGGAATCATATAAACCAATTTGGATGTAACAGCAAACTATACTTTTGTGGAAACAGCTGATTTGACAGAGTACATGGGGGTGGGGAGTATGTGAGTGCAAAAGCAATTTCTGATCTGGAGTTATGTGTGAAGCAATACATAATGATATGTCCACAAATGAAATTCTTCCAAGAGTAGCCAGTCTTTCCTATGGAGCCATCAGAGAGGCACAGCAATAAAAATAACTATATATCAACCTTCATTTTAAATATCTCAACAATGCCTGAAATGTACCTCTTTATCCTTTTTATTTACTTTTTTATTTTGTAACTTTGTATTATTTCTTTTTTTAGATTCATCTTGGGATCTGGGATGTCTTACAACAGATTAGAATGGAACTGCGTGTAATTTAGGCACTATATACAGGTAATTCTTTAATGTTAGATTTATAAATTGCAAACCAGCTGGGCCAGAGTTAAAATCTCGGAGTTTTGCTGGTTTCATTTATGAGCAAACCAGCAAAATCACTCTGATTGAATTCAATGAGGTTTCATTCTGAAGTAACTTCCATAAGAATGGTTGTGACTTTCACTGAAATAGTTGGAATTTCAAAGATTTTAACTTTGGCTTAATCTATGTCCTGTAGCCTTTTGTAAACCAAAGGGAATCTTCAAACTGGTGATGATAGAAAAATTCAGGTGCAGAATATTATTTTGTGTCATACTGTAATTACTTTGGGTTGATCACAGTCAGACTGTGCCACAGGATATGCTGAAGTTCTGTGATGTATTTAGCTTCTCCCTTAGCTAGCAGGAGTGACTGAGTAATGTGTAGCAGGTTGTTCTGTCATAACAAAGCAGGTTTCCCACAGACTCCTGGCATAGGAGTAAACATATTAATTATATGGTTCTCACAATAAATAGAAAACTAAGCCCATTTGAATGTATCTTAGACAAGTTTCAGAAATATGGTTACATCCATGATTTCTTTTCTTCAAGAGGTTGGAGCAATTTCATCAGAGGAAAGAAATCTTTGGATACAAAATTTAGGGTTTTATAGAATTAATTGGTAAAAGATTAGGACTCTGGATATTGTGACAGACTAGGACAAATTTTCATTTGGTCATAGAAACTCACCGAGGAACTGGCAAAACTACCGTATTTTTTGCTCCATAATACGCACCGGACCTTAAGATGTACATAATTTTTAGAGGAGGAAAACAGGGAAAATATATTCTGAACCAAATAGTGTAATAAAATATTTAATAAACTATAACAGAATAACATTTGAACCATGTAAAGTGAACAGCAGTCAACAGTGGCATTAAGAACCATTACCGCTGTCATTAACAAATGGAGAGACTTAAAGCTTTGTGTACTCTAGTTTATATACCATAAATTTGTGTACCATAAATTTAATTCAAGTACATATAGACCATTATCAGCCAGTGATAAGACCTATACCACGCTACCTATATTTTACATTTCCTTTCATCCACTTCCTCCCCATGCTTCTAGAAATGTCTCAATGACAGATGAGAATGTTGTGCAACTCTGCCCAGCTACAGCTCAAGCCTATATTAAGTTAGAAATGGTTTGTCTGATTCAGCACTGCATTGAGAGGTCCCTTTTAGTTGTGTGGAGGATAAATAGTGGAATTAAACTATTTAACAGCTGGTTTTCCTTATTTACTTTAGGTTATGCAAAAGAACAGCAACACAAAGCTTAACC